TAGTGCTGGATGGATGCTGGCCCCTTCAATGCTTTTATTACTTTGTGTCCCCAATGGGGAGATTCATCCTCTGTGTCCTGGGGACCATTGTGATGGTGGATCCATAAATGTAGAGTTATTTCCTGCCCAGGAAAAGAGGGGAAATGTCACATTGCAGACAGGGAAGGGAGGATTTCCATCACTGGGACACAGATTTCTGCTCACTTCCTGTTGTGTTTTCAGGACAGGAAATAAAGGGAGCTCTCCTCAGTGGCAGGCTTTAACCCTTTTACTACCAGAGCTGGTTTTACACGTTTAACAAATCCTTTTGAACCCTCCTAATCATTATATACTTTATGAAAGCAGAGACCTTAGATCGCAGGTGTCAAACACAAGGCCCGCAGGCTGAATCCAGGCCATTTCATGTGGCCCTTGCACCTCTCCTGCAGTCACGGTACCCCCCCCTCATCTCTGCCTCAGCAGAGAGGACAGAACTCCTCTGCCAGATCCTGCACCTCTCCTGCAGTCACGGTACCCCCCCTCATCTCTGCCTCCACCTTGTCTCAGCAGAGAGGACAGAACTCCTCTGTCAGATCCTGCACCTCTCATTGCAGCTGCAACACCCCCTCATCTCCACCTTCTCTGGTTTCAGCAGACTCTAACTCCACTCCTCCTCTGGTCCTCCTCCAGACCCTGCACTTTCTGATTCCCAGCTCTGCCCCCCAAGGTGGGGTGCACGGTGATGTTAGGAAGGGTGGGGATCTGATGTATAGGGGGTGGGGTGCTCTAGTCTTACAGATAAAACCGGCCCTTTGAGGGCAACCATAATGCTGGTACAGCCCATGATGAAATGGAGTTTGGCACCCCTGCCTTAGAGAATAAAATGGTGAAAGTTCTTTTTTTTTTTTTTTTTTTTGTATCACATGACATTAGCACAACAGTTTAGAAAATGCTAAATCTCCGTAAAAATACATTAAAGGTCAATTTTAAGGATCACCAACACAATATATTTAGTGATTTGTATGAAATCGAAGAGGTTGTGCTGAGTAAATATGTCCCCACCTAGTCGAGCCTTAAAGTTGTGTACGCCTGTGAAACCACCACATCATTTAGTACCCTACAGGGGTGTGGAAATTTCTTTTTAAAAAACTACTTGTCTGAAGGACTAAATTAGGGTCTGGATCTACTTGTCCCTCATGACAATCTACTTAAAACAAAAAACTAAAGTTAATTTTAAGGCACAAAACCACAAATTACCCATATTTTTTAAAATATAAAAGATGAGGTTGCACCGGGTAAATGCCCAACATGTCAAACCTTAAATCTGCGTGCGCCAGTGAAATGGCGACACGTCCGCACCCTATATTTAATAAAGGTGACACTTTATAAGCCCCCTTATAGGTCATCAGTTTGGTGTTACAGAGGCGGTTTGCTGATGGAATTATTGCTTTCAGTCAGGTGTGAAAGGCCATATGTAACATGTATTGCAGTCATCATTTTCATGCATAGATGCCCTGATGTGTGCATATACATTTCTACGTGCGTATATGTGGTGGTGGGAGGGGTTCAAAAAGTTTGGGGGTGGGGAGTTTGTTGATGGCCGGGGACTCTGACAGTAGGGTCCCTGAAGTGACGTCATACAGATTGCTTCTGGGTCAGGAACTAGATAGAGTCCTCTCTTCTCCCTCCCCTCTACCTGGCTGTGCCCACTATGCCTGTCCTGTATATGGGCAAGCGGAGCCCAGGATATTTAGCGGGAGGGGGCACTTTAACAGCTTGTGGAAGTAATCAAGCGGCAGCGGGGATAAATGTAGGGGGGGACAAACTGCCTGCCGGCACCTGGAACTGCATTTCCCAGCCGTCAGGCAATCCAAATTGCGCATCCTTAGCCCTATATTTTCCATAGGTGACGCTTTCCTTAGGTGACCCTACAGATTGTCAATTTAGATTTACCTGCACATAACGGCCATAGAATTCTTGATATTCAGTGTGTGCGGCCATATGCAGCATGTGTAGTCGTGCATAGGCACCCCCAGATCCCTACGTTTAAGTGTGTGGGGGTGATATTGTAACTGCTGCTTGGGTGTAACGTTAATTATTTTACACTAACATTTTTTCATTTACTAAACTTTTTTTCCATGTAGGGGGCATGAAGTCCTCTGGTTTTTTTTTTTTTTTTGTTTGTTTTTTTGTCACGTTTCCTTTAATGTAACATCAGGTTTAACAGATCCCTGATGACTCGCCTTTCCTCCAGTGAAACTAATGCAGTATAGATTGCAGTCCATTTGTTTCTTTCCCAACTATACTGGCTGAGGAAAGTGACAATAGGACCCAAAAGTGATGTTTTACATGTTTCTTCTAGGACAGTAATAGAAAAGGGAGACATTCGCTGATCTCCCTCCCTCTACCTGTGGTACCTGCCATATTGGTCACAGGCTCCGCCTGCTCTTTGGCATAGGGGGACCTGTAGTCACTTTGGTGTGTGGCAGCTGGTGGATCGCTGCTATCTGACAGTCGACTTGTTGGATTTGCACACTCCCGGCAACAATCACTACTATTTCAATTGACACCTCCTCCAGCTCTGACTGAAAGGCTTTACCTCGTTACAGGCACAGAGCTGGAGGAAGAGTCTGCAGCCACCTGGCATTGCACTGATTGTGGGCACAGTGCTCTAGGCTGATTTGTTCGAAAATGCACTTATTTCTTTCTGAAAAATATGTGCATTAAAGATTTTTGTTGTAAAAGGTGGACTTGACCTTTAAAAGCACTTAATGCAATAATTTTGATTAGGAACTAATGGCCGCCTTTATCTGGGCAGAGAAACTGGTCACATCTCAACTGCAGGTGAACACAGCTTCATGAAACGCCCAGAGCGAGCGAGTGAAGGCTCCAGTGATCTGCACAGGTGAACTCTTAGGCTACGTTCACACTAGCGTTGTGTGCAGGCGGCAGAGAGGCGTTTGGGAAGCGTTTTTACTGCTTCCCAAATGCCTCTGCCAATTCTGAACATTACAGCACATGGTGCTGTTCTAACGGGAGCGTTTGCGTCACGGCAAAACGGACGCCTCTGGTCGAGTCAGGAGGTGTTGAAGCCTCCTATTCTTGTCTATGGTGCCGCTCTGCAAACGCCCGGCCAGCGGTGTGGTTGCGGGGCGTTTGCGGAGCGGTAACACCACTCAAACTGCATTATAGGCATTTGTGGGGCGTTAACGCTCGGCAAAGTCCTAGCAACCGCTGCTAAAAAAGCGTTTGCGGAGCGCAAACGCCGGACCAACGCTTGCCAAATGCTAAAACAGCCAAGCGGTGTGGTTGCGGGGCGTTTGCGGAGCGTAACACCACTCAAACTGCATTATAGGCATTGTGTGGGGCGACCAACGGCAAAGTCCTAGCAACCGCTGCTAAAACCGCGCATGTGGCGTTTGCGGAGCGCAAACGCCGGACCAACGCTTGCCAAATGATAGGGGCATTTGGCAAGCGTTGGTAAAACAGCCAAGTGTGAACGAGCTCTTAAGGGCTAAGTTCACCTTTCTGAACACGTTCTATCCGCATGTTCAGCGTGCACCCTATATTTCTCCATTCCCCTCCCCCCAGCCTGTGATAGCAGGGGTGGATCCTTTCCCTGTACCTGCTGTCACTATTTTAAAACAGTGTGGTAATGCTGGGCTCTGCCCACACAGCTGCATTATTCATTTGTAGTTTCTTGTAAATGAATGGACTACAACTACCGTCAGCCATTGTGGCTGATAGCGTAACTGCCGGCACGTATCGGAGGAATGTGCAGACAGCTATCCTGGGAGTCCGAAGGAGCTTGGCATTGGTAAACTTGCTTATTAATGTTAGTAGTGAGATCAAAGGTCTATTATCACAGTTCAGGGCCCATTCACACCACATTGGGACTGTTGCTCAATGTATGCCCAGTGCAGTGACCAGCAGGAATCCATTGTTTCCAGTATGCACAATTCACATTACATGCTGGAGAAAAATGCAGCAAAGTGTCGTCACAGCTCGTGTTAGAGAAAACAAAGTATTTTGGTCTGCTATGGTAAGAAAAATTACAATGCAGTGCCAAAAAAAGTGCATTAAAGGTTTGTGGTGTTGAAACTTTTTTGCTGGGGGGGGGGGGGGGGCCTAAATATTCCCCAACTATTTTTGAAAGCAGAGACTCTGGAGAGTAATATGGTAGTAGTTTAATTTTTGTTTTTGTAACAAAATGTGTTTAATTAAAAAAACTCAGTTTTCTTTGCATAAACACCGAATATGATACCTGGTACTCAATAGTTTGGTAAAATATAAAGTGGTTACTGAATTTATAGATGCCAAATATGTCAAGCATTAACCTGTGAAATGTTGACAAACTGAAGTACCAAACATTACTAGGAGGTGCTATAAAAGTCCTTACTGGTCATTGGGTTATACGTTGCAGTGAATGGTGACAGGCTGATTATGCCCCCTTTTCACAACATTTAGGCATGATCCAACTTTACAGCCACCCAATAACTTTTATGACAAAGCTGGTGGTGGGGAGAAAAATGTAGAAAGTAAAGCCAGGAGTCTGTTTTCACCCCGGCTATAATACATTATTAGCAATGAAAGGAGTAATCTGCAGCTAACTTTCCAGAATTGGAGTGTAAACAGTTTATAGTGATGATCTTTACAGTTGGGACACAATAGAAGTCTAACAAGTTCACACTGCTCCACTTTACAGAAAAGTAAAAGTTTAGGGTTTTCCCCTCCATGCATGTGTGTCCTGTAATGTGATATTTATTGGCTATATGTTGTCTGGATCTCCGCAAATGTTGTGGACATCAGGTTGGTCTGATGGGTGTTCCATCAAGGCCTTATCCTGCATCTTATTGGGATTACCTGAGACTAGAGTCACACCTCTGCACTCCTAGTGGCCTTGGTGTGCTAGAGTTCTCGGAGAGTGATTGCTGATCTTTATTCACTGGTTGGTTCTGCATGTAGCTCAACCAGTCACCGGTACAGCAACATCTGATACAGGAGACTTTACAGATTTATTCATGAAGCGGAGGATCAGAATTGTGCTGATCATTGTGATTTTTGTTTTTGAACAGCCTACCAAGTTAAGAAAGACGAGGAAGCTCCGTGGACATGTCAGTCACGGCCATGGTCGTGTTGGTAAGTAGAATTTCACATTTAAGAGTCAATGCACCTAAGTTGCATGGAGATCCTTCCCTTCCTGCTAATTTTTTGATAGCCTGTTTCTCCAATAGAATGTCCTATCTCTAAGATATTAGAGATGCTGGATGCCAGGGGGAAGCTTGGCTCATCAGTTTTGCCCATAACTGAAATCACTTTGGTATGGATTGTTTCACCTTTAGAGTATAATTGGTGTTTACTGTATGGCCGGAGGAAAGGATAAGGTTTCCCACCACAGCTAGTAATGTAGTTATCTTTCTAGTGCAGGCTGGAAAAAGCCTGTAATGGACAGCTATTTTTTTTTTGTTTGTTTTTTTTTGTTACTGAGGTCTGCTATATGGTCCAGAACCACCAAAGTATGACATATCCCAGGACTCTACCCCCCTTCATGACCAGGCCATTTTTTGCTTTACGGCACTGCATTACTTTAACAATTGCGCGGTCATGCAACACTGTACATTTCATTTGTCGAGACTAGAGTCACACCTCTGCACTCCTAGTGGCCTTGGTGTGCTAGAGTTCTCGAAGAGCAATTGCTGATCTTTATTCACTGGTTGGTTCTGCATGTAGCTCAGCCAGTCACCGGTACAGCAACATCAACCACTGCTCTGCTCTTCTGCAGTGATCTGTATGGGGAGAAGTGATGTGTGTGAAAAGGAAGTTCTGCTTGTAATTGCTACAGATGTTGCCCTAACATCACTAGTGTTACAATTTGTATCAGCAGCATATTGCAACATATTTCAGTTATCAGAGGGGAAGTTTTTACATCACTACATAGCTAGGTCAAGTTGGAGATTTGTTTGGTACCAAACTTATCTTACTGACTTTCTTCCTTCTAGGCAAACACAGAAAGCATCCTGGTGGTCGCGGTAATGCCGGTGGTTTGCATCATCACAGAATCAATTTTGATAAATAGTGAGTTACATTTTTATTCTTTCATGATGTCCTTATATACTTGTGAACAGGGGCGGACTGACAACTCATGGGGCCCCCGGGCAATAGGGGATCATGGGGCCCGTGTCCTTGCCCAAACTTGAAAAAGGTTCCAAGGGCATCTCATGGGGCCCCCTACTGTCCGTGAGCCCTCAGGCAGTGCCCGAGTTTCCAAATGGTTAGTCCGCCCCTGCTTATGAATTTCTAATAAAACGTTAAAAAAAGCAGATATGCTGACAGGAAGAATCAATGAACTACCCCGGTGCTCCACAGCTGGTGAACGTGCGGTGGCTGTAGCATTGGGAACATGTTACCTAAAACCGGGTAGAGCATGTAACATTTTCCCAAAGGTGAAGTTATCCTTTTAAACATGTCAAGCACAGTAGGGTAGCAAGTGCCTCTCAATTACCGCCTGAAAGTCTTTCCTCTGCCCAAGTCTGCCTTGTGGGCATTCCTATTGGGTAGCTCAAGCAGAGCTTTGTCTCTCCCGTCCACCTGCTGTGACCCAGCATATGATGACATATGTTGTCACCAGCACTGGTGCCGTCTAGCAGACTACACAGGGTAATGGCACATGCTTTATCATTGGAGGTTGTTTTTTTTTTTTTTTTCCTTAACCCCCCCCCCCCCCCCCCCCCCCGCAAGTCTGGTTGACATGTCTCTTCCCTTCACAAGTAGTGACAGAACTTTTCTCTCGAGTAAGTGCCTGATGCTGGGGACAAATGTGGCCAATCAAAACTTGGCATTCTGACTCCTGAGCAGTGTGGTTGAATGGGGTTATGTACCCTGAGTTATTTATAATCCGAATTGTTCTTATTTGGCAGTTTCTGTGAATTTGATAAGGAATAAGAGTTGCCTACAATCATGTTAATAACAATATCGGGCAAATGCATCTTTCAGCTTTTTCGGTGGAATCTCAGTAACTGTAATGGTTAACTTGTTTTCCAGCCACCCTGGTTACTTCGGTAAGGTCGGCATGAGGCATTACCACTTGAAGAAGAATCAACATTATTGTCCCACAATTAACTTGGACAAACTGTGGACCTTGGTCAGTGAACAGACCAGGCTGAACCATGCTAAGAACCCAGATGGACCAGCACCAGTCATTGACGCAGTGCACGCCGTAAGTGCTTGTTTTCTTGTCTACATGGTGGGGAGATGGCTACAGAGCTCTAATATTTATATGCTTCTGTGTAAGGACAAATGTTTTCTGCATCAAACCCCCACTTGTCATTTTAATGGCAAATTTAACTGCACAAAAACTCCTAAAGCCGGTACACGCAGTGATAAAATCGCACAAAAAAATACAGCTTTTGAGAGCTGATCACGACAGTTCATGCAAAATTATCCCAATGGACAAGCACGAAAAGTTTTCTTGTACAATAACAAACAAATTGATTTTTGTGTAATCCGTACATTAGTCATCCATAAAAAAAATCGAGTGACCAAGACTGCGCATGCTCAGAAATGAGAGCATACATTACAATACATTATATCACATCTGAAATTGTATTACAAGGATTTTCGTGACTTTATTGACCTCTTAATGTTTGGTATTAGACTAGAATGCAGAAAAAGACGAACATTTGTCGATATTCTCAACATGTGTACAGAGCTTTATTGTCATTAGCTTCAACTGCGCATAAGATGTACATAAATAAGTCATTTTATAGTTAGTGTACAGAGTAGTTTCCAGTGAGAACAATGCATAGTAACCTACAATCACTGGGTGACCTTACTCTACTAAATGGATGTACTCTCTGGTCTTGTGAGTTAAAGCTGTATTGCAGGCTATTTTTGCATCATTACACTAATCTAGTTTGGATAAATGTAAATATGCATGTTCCATACCTGGCCAATCCCTGTGGAAACTGAAAAAAATCCCTGTAGTAGACAATAGAGTGGCTGTCCTGCTTCTTGAGTAGGGTTGCTCATTCGGCGTGGGCACCATTCAAAGAACACTTTACATTCTCAATAAATGCAAAGCATTCTTTGGTAGAGGTGATGAGGTCATGATCTCCATTTTTCTCTAGTTTCCTTCCAGGACTGCATATAAAACAGGCTCCTCCCACCAGGACAGGAAATGTATCGCCAGGTCAAATGTTAAAGCGGTGATATATTGGTTTACCAATTCTTAGATGTGGCTGCAGTCATTTTCTTTTCAGGTTTTTTTTTTTCACTTTTTTTTTTTTCTCACCTGCTGATCTGTCCAGTAACACCTCCTGTGTTAGAGTGCACCCACAAGGGGCACAGCAGCATTCTCATTCTGGGGAGAGGAGAGTATTGGACTAGCAGAATTCAATACACTAACAAATTGAAGCTAAACTCTAGATCAGTGTTTCTCAACCTTTTTTCAGTCAAGGCACCCTTTAAAATTGTGGACAGTCCCAAGGCACCCCATTATAAAATGTGAAAAACTATTCTAATCGTTTTCTATAACTCAGCAATATCCACACATGTAGGACACCCAAAATTAGAGGTGATTTATTCTTCCAAAGCAAATACATTTTTGCACACTGGTACCGACTAGTATTCCAGTGTTTCTCCTCTCCCTCAGTATTCATCACTGTGCTAATGTACCCCAGCACTGATGGAGAAGGGCAGGGGAGGGTCAAACTAGGATGCTGTGTAGGCAGCTGACATCCTCCTTTTCAACTGATCATGTCATTGGTTGTCAGGACGCCGGCAGCTAGAAGGTCATAATGGTGCACAATGAAAACCTGTGGCTTTGTGTAACTAAACGGCAGGCTTTGTCCCACCCACTGAATTGTATACATGTTTTGGGCAATCTCTACAATATTTGCCAAGGCACCTCTGAAGAAACCTCAAGCCACTCCAGGGTACCTGGACACCCTGGCTGAGAAAGGCTGCTCTAGATAACCCTTTATAAGCAGTTACAGCTACAGTCTTTCTTTTGGGGTAAACATTTTAAATCGGTAAAAGCTGATCATTGTAAGCAGCCCTGTCCATGGTAAATTTTGTTTCAACCCTCTGCCATATCTGCAAGACAGCTTGTTCTTTTGAAAAGTAAACTGCTAGCCAGATTGCTGGCGAAACTATAGGAAAGAGAAAAAATGAATGCCAGCCGCTGCATCTAAAAATTTTTGGGTTTGATTTTGGGTTTAATACAACTTTTTAAATAGTGTTGCCTCTGACTTCTATCCAAAGGAGATGCCTTTCCTGGAACCTGTGGGGGGAGGGGAGCGTCTGTTCCTCACTGGATATCATTTCAATCACATCTCTTCACCTACCTCACTCTTTGTGGAGCTGCTGGTTTTGTTTTCCCTGCTGCCTTACCCTCCAGGACTCCTCAGGACAAGGAAGAGGTGGCCATGGTTGTCCATACAGAAGCCTTGCTGAAATGCACCTTGGCCGCTCCGGGTCCTGCTGGACACTGGAACTTGGGCGTGACTGATGCCACAGCTTACATACTAGGTTTTTTTTTGTTTTTTGTCCAGGGCTGTTCTGCAGATTATAAAATATGCATTCACGTTTATTTGGCTTTGACAAATATTATTTTTTTCTTTGCTAGCAGGACCCAGGTGACTCTTTACCCTTTTGCTCTTTTGGCAGGGTTATTTCAAGGTGCTCGGCAAAGGGAAGCTCCCCAAGCAGCCAGTCATTGTAAAAGCCAAGTTCTTCAGCCGACGTGCCGAGGAGAAGATTAAAGGTGTCGGTGGTGCTTGTGTGCTGGTAGCATAACAGCTGTTTTGAACCAATTAAACTTCCATTGTGTACATTTGTGTTCTGTTATCGCTTCCTGTTTCAGAGTAACTGTTGCACATCAAAATACAAAAGTTTTCACAACTGCTTCTGGGCACAGTATACTTTTCAGAAAAGGGAGGACTGTATAAATCTAGTGTTTTAAGAAGGTTTGACAATGCAGATTACAAGAAGCGGTAGAGATGGCCAGTGTGTTTGTTCTGAGAAAATGTGATGTCTGCCTACAGAAAAGGTTGCTACTAGACCCTACAGGGGTTTTCACTGCCCTATTATCCCCTGTAGAGCTTCCTGGGGGCTCATTATGCAGATATAGACTTTCCATGTCAGAGAACTGAAGTACACATGCCCTCTGTGCCTAATTTGTAGAAAACGGCTTTGTCACTTAAATTAGTTTAATCTCTGAGATATAGGCTATTTGTCATACCATTGGTCTCTTAGTTTACTGTTGCAATGCATGTTATCTTCTAAGCAGCAGTCAGCAAAACATATATTAATGCCTGTGACATCATCAAATAGTGTCCAATAATCCAGAATGCTACGTGGAGGGTAAATGACTTCCAGAACTACATGGGAGTATTGTGTGGATCAGTTGGCAGCTGTGTATAGAGCTGGCATGGGTGTCCTGTCAATGCCACACAGTCTCTAAAACATGACTTGGGAGAGGAATGCACAGCAGTTCTGACAAAAACTTAATTGGAGGGCAAAGAAGGCGGTATGCAAATGTTCCCATTTGACTAACTAGAGTCACTGCACCGCACACCCCAACTGTCTTTGATCCTTTCTTTACCTTGTTTGCTGTGCATATTGTGTTAACCAGTATAACATGGGGTACTGGGAAGCTCCTCAATGCCTACTTGTGAACATGAGGGGGGCGTGCCTTGTTGCCCTGGCAACCCGACACTGTTGCCGGGGCAACCAGGAAGCGTCCGGCGCGGGACCCAACAGGTGGCTGTTCGTCCCCCGCTCGGGACAGGGTGCTGTGCGGGGTCTGAGCTGAGGCCAGACCCCCACAGCCAGACTCAGCTGAGTGCTCTGCTGATCCACTGGGTCCCTAGAGGTTACTCCTGCCTGCTGCTCTGCTGGGTCCCTACAGGTTACTCCTGCCTGCTGTCACTGTTGTCCCTGGAAAGCTGAGTTACTGAGTCCCCGTGAGCCTGCTGTTGTCCCTGGAAAGCTGAACCCTGTCTACTGACCGCTTTGTCCCTGGAAAGCTGTGTGAGGTCTGAGCTGAGGTCAGACCCCACAGCCAAGACTCCGCTGAGTGCTCTGATCCGCTGAGTCCCTAGAGGTTACTCCTGCTGATCCATTGGGTTCCTAGAGGTTACTCCTGCTGATCCGCTGGGTTCCTAGGGGTTACTCCTGCTGATCCGCTGGGTCCCTAGAGGTTACTGCTCCTGTCTGCTGATCTGCTGGGTCCCTAGAGGTTACTGCTCCTGCCTGCTGATCCGCTGGGTCCCTAGAGGTTACTGCTCCTGCCTGCTGATCCGCTGGGTCCCTAGAGGTTACTGCTCCTGCCTGCTGATACCGCTGGGTCCCTAGAGGTTTTACTCCTGCCTGCTGATCCGCTGGGTCCCTAGAGGTTACTCCTGCTGATCTGCTGGGTCCCTAGATGTTACTCCTCCTGCCTGCTGATCCGCTGGACCCTAGAGGTTACTCCTCCTTCCTGCTGATCCGCTGGGTCCCTAGAGGTTACTCCTGCTGATCCGCTGGGTACACTATTTTGGGCATCTGTTTCCTGGGGCTCCTGTCTGGAGCTTTCACTCCCATAGAACAAGCACTTTGCCATCCTAAGAGGAGGTCTTTTCCTGAAGCACCTGGCTGACCTTAAGGGACCCCCTGGACCTGTTTTAGGAGTCTGTGATGACCCACCATGAGGGAGATGCCTGGCTGTCTGGCTTCTGATGTTACCCATTGCCTGTGATGCATGATCACACATGCGCATAACCCATGTGTTTCCGGTGAGTGCGCATTTCTGTTATTCTGACAGAGTGGAGGCCGTGGGAATCCGTATATCTACAGTATACCATTGTGGATACTACACTATCACCTTATTGACTTTTCATCTTTTTAGCGCGCTGCACTCTATTGTTTTTGTGATTGTTTGTGTTTGAGGCATTATGGGTTGCCTAAAGTGTTCCAGCTGCTGACATTTATGAGAGCGCTCACTATATATCTTTTATATTTTACTCCTTCCTGCTGATCCGCTTGGTCCCTAGAGGTTACTCCTGCTGATCCGCTGGGTCCCTAGAGGTTACACCTGCCTGCTGATCCGCTGGGTCCCTAGAGGTTACTCATCCTGCCTGCTGATCTGCTGGGTCCCTGGAGGTTACTCCTCCTGCCTGCAGAGCCGCTGGGTCCCTAGAGGTTACTCCTCCTGCCTGCTGAGCCGCGTGAGTCCCTAGAGGTTACTGCTCCTGCCTGCTGATCCGCTGGGTCCCTAGAGGTTACACATCCTGCCTGCTGATCCCCGCTGGGTCCCTGGAGGTTACTGCTTCTGCCTGCTGATCCGCTGGGTCCCTGGAGGTTACTCCTGCCTGCAGAGCCGCTGGGTCCCTGGAGGTTACTCCTCCTGCCTGCTGATCCGCTGGGTCCCTAGAGGTTACTCTCCTGCCTGCTGATCCGCTGGGGTCCCTAGAGGTTACTCCTCCTGCCTGCTAAGCCGCTGGGTCCCTAGAGGTTACTGCTCCTGCCTGCTGAGCAGCTGGGTCCCTAGAGGTTACTGCTCCTGCCTGCTGAGCAGCTGGGTCCCTAGAGGTTACTGCTCCTGCCTGCTGATCCGCTGGGTCCCTAGAGGTTACTCCTCCTGCCTGCTGATCCGCTGGGTCCCTCGAGGTTACTGCTCCTGTCTGCTGATCCCCTGGGTCCCTAGAGGTTACTCCTGCCTGCTGTCGCTGTTGTCCCTGGAAAGCTGAGTCCCCGTGAGCCTGCTGTTGTCCCTGGAAAGCTGAACCCTGTCTGCTAATCGCTTTGTCCCTGGAAAGCTGTTTGAGGTCTGAGCTGAGGTCAGACCCCACAGCCAAGACTCCGGTGAGTGCTCTGCTGATCCGCTGGGTCCCTAGAGGTTACTCCTGCTGATCCGCTGGGTCCCTAGAGGTTACTCCTGCTGATCCGCTGGGTCCCTAGAGGTTACTCCTGCTGATCCGCTGGGTCCCTAGAGGTTACTCCTGCTGATCCGCTGGGTCCCTAGAGGTTACTCCTGCTGATCCGCTGGGTCCCTAGAGGTTACTCCTGCTGATCCGCTGGGTCCCTAGAGGTTACTCTGCTGATCCGCTGGGTCCCTAGAGGTTACTCCTGCTGATCCGCTGGGTCCCTAGAGGTTACTCCTGCTGATCCGCTGGGTCCCTAGAGGTTACTGCTCCTGCCTGCTGATCCGCTGGGTCCCTAGAGGTTACTGCTCCTGCCTGCTGATCCGCTGGGTCCCTAGAGGGTTACTGCTCCTGCCTGCTGATCCGCTGGGTCCCTGGAGGTTACTGCTCCTGCCTGCTGATCCGCTGGGTCCCTGGAGGTTACTCCTCCTGCCTGCTGATTACCGCTGGGTCCCTAGAGGTTACTCCTCCTGCCTGCTGATCCGCTGGGTCCCCTCGAGGTTACTGCTCCTGTCTGCTGATCCACTGGGTCCCTAGAGGTTTACTCCTGCCTGCTGTCGCTGTTGTCCCTGGAAAGCTGAGTCCCCGTGAGCCTGCTGTTGTCCCTGGAAAGCTGAACCCTGTCTGCTGATCGCTTTGTCCCTGGAAAGCTGTTTGAGGTCTGAGCTGAGGTCAGACCCCACAGCCAAGACTACGGTGAGTGCTCTGCTGATCCGCTGGGTCCCTAGAGGTTACTCCTGCTGATCCGCTGGGTCCCTAGAGGTTACTCCTGCTGATCCGCTGGGTCCCTAGAGGTTACTCCTGCTGATCCGCTGGGTCCCTAGAGGTTACTCCTGCTGATCCGCTGGGTCCCTAGAGGTTACTCCTGCCTGCCTGCTGATCCGCTGGGTCCCTAGAGGTTACTCCTGCCTGCCTGCTGATCCGCTGGGTCCCTAGAGGTTTACTCCTGCCTGCTGATCCGCTGGGTCCCGAGAGGTTACTCCTGCCTGCCTGCTGATCCGCTGGGTTCCTAGAGGTTACTCCTGCCTGGTGATCCGCTGGGTCCCTAGAGGTTACTCCTGCCTGCTGATCCGCTGGGTCCCTAGTAGGTTACTGCTCCTGCCTGCTGATCCGCTGGGTCCCTAGAGGTTACTGCTCCTGTCTGCTGATCCGCTGGGTCCCTAGAGGTTACTGCTCCTGCCTGCTGATTCCGCTGGGTCCCTGGAGGTTACTGCTCCTGCCTGCTGATCCGCTGGGTCCCTGGAGGTTACTCCTCCTGCCTGCTGATCCGCTGGGGTCCCTGGAGGTTACTGCTCCTGTCTGCTGATCCACTGGGTCCCTAGAGGTTACTCCCTGCCTGCTGTCGCTGTTGTCCCTGGAAAGCTGAGTCCCCGTGAGCCTGCTGTTTGTCCCTGGAAAGCTGAACCCTGTCTGCTGATCGCTTTGTCCCTGGAAAGCTGTTTGAGGTCTGAGCTGAGGTCACACACCCCACAGCCAAGACTCCGGTGAGTGCTCTGCTGATCCGCTGGGTCCCTAGAGGTTACTCCTGCTGATCCGCTGGGTCCCTAGAGGTTACTCCTGCCTGCTGATCCGCTGGGTCCCTGGAGGTTACTCCTGCCTGCTGATCCGCTGGGTCCCTAGAGGTTACTCCTGCCTGCCTGCTGATCCGCTTGTCCCTAGAGGTTACTCCTGCTGCCTGCTGATGAACCGCTGGGTCCCTAGAGGTTACTCCTGCCTGCTGATCCGCTGGGTCCCTAGAGGTTACTCCTGCCTGCTGATCCGCCGCTGGGTCCCTGGAGGTTACTCCCTGCCCTGCTGATCCGCTGGGTCCCTAGAGGTTACTGCTGCTGATCTGCTGGGTCCCTAGGAGGTTACTGCTCCTGCCTGCTGATCCGCTGGGTCCCTAGAGGTTAC